GACGTGACTGTTTGCTTTTACCATTTCGGTAGAATCTTGGCGAACCGTGTATCTGCTGCACGCTCAAAGGAGCGGAAGACACGATACATGGCAGAGTTAGAACACAAGGTGCAGACACTGCAGACCGAAGCTACTACACTATCAGCTCAGCTCACGCATTTGCAGGTGAGGGCCGACACAACACAAACTGTTTTGTTTGAATAACTCAGTAGCCTTATATTGTTTGCTTTGGGTGGTTCAGAGAGATTCAATGGGGTTGACGAACCAGAACAGTGAGCTGAAGTTCCGTCTTCAAGCTATGGAGCAGCAGGCACAGCTCCGCGATGGTAAGCACATTATGTTATCAGAACTCTTTATTCTCTATATTAGGGTTCCTGAGTTGGTTTAGGGTTTGTTTTGTACTCGAAATCGATGGAACCAAGTCAGTGTCATATCCTTGGCCTAATTCTTCGTTTTATATTCCATCAAAGAACATTCCTTTTCCGGTTTCCCCAGCCTTAAGTAGGAACAATGTGTTTATTTCCATGTATGAAAAATCTTAACTCTCTCATTGGGAAAATTAGCTCTTCCACGGCCGCAGGATTGCATCCGAATCTATCCATCTTAAAGACGCAAAATAGGTCTCGGTGTAAATTCACTCTAGGAAAAGCTTTAAATATTTCTCCTGTGAATATAGCAACTGCATTTCTTGATCCATGTCCATCGCGCAGTTCTCGTAGGAAAATAACATTTTAATTTCCTTTGGCGGCAGCTCTTTCTGAGAAACTGACTGAAGAAGTGCAGCGCTTGAAACTGGTGATTGGGGAGCCAAGCCAGAGGCAATCGAAGGCGTCACTAAACCCAGAGATGTTTCAGCAGCTTAGCATCAGCCAGTTACAACACCAGCAGCATTCAAACCAGAATAGCACCATGAAAGCAAAGAACGCGTCAAATGAATAGAGGGTAAGAAGTACCGCGATCCGCAGTTTGAAGTTACATATATGATAATAATCTTATGTGCAGAGTCTGTTTTGGAATATTTAAAGAAACATATAGAGATTATGTCCACGAAATTCCATCATATTTCCTGAGAACAGACACAATATATAATAGTGGTAAAGGAGGCTCTGCTTCTCTAGTTTTGGTCATATTACAGTTAAG